GTGCAGGAGGTAGGAGTGGAGAGCAAGAGGGAGAACTTGATGGGGCATAGGAGGATACTGAGTTGAGATGGAAATGTGGGGTGCAATTAGAAACTGGGGGACAAGGGAATGTGAGGAGGACACTGAGGGGGCAGCAGAAGACTGGAAAGAAGCAGCTGATGGGATAGACAAGGTGGGGCGCAGGACGTGGCTAAGGGGGTGTAGGGTACAGGAAGAGACCGAGGGACACATCTCTTAAGGCTGAAGATATAGAAATCTGGAGATTTTATGCAAACAATCTAATACTCTAATTTGCATAATTAATTACTAATCTGGTTTCACTAAGTAAGGATCCTAACAGTGAATTTTGCATGGAGGGGACATTATCAGGGATTGGACATATGGGGAGCAGCTGGAGACGAGGTGGGGGTTGGCTGCAAGTTACTGATATACTCCAGCCCATCACACCAGTCAGAAATCTATACAATATTCCTTTGGGGGGCAAAGGACTAATCCTGTTCTGACAGGCCCCAACATTCTGTGTATGCGTGCACGTATTCTGGGTTGAACTGACTAAGGAACATCAGGAATATGGGCTGGAATAGCCTTTGTCATTCCTAATTCTCCAGTTTTTCAGAAGTCTGCGCTTGGGGCTCAGTTTCCTGCCATGTGAGCTGTTGTCTTAGTCTGATGTGCTTTGTAGCTGTGATTAACCCACCTTCTTCCTACTTAGCCATGTTTAAGGGAGTTATTTTATGAGGAAGGCTGTTGCTATAGTTTAGAATCCAATTCCTGATTTGATCAGCTAAGTCCATAGAAGTGGCTCTCTCAGCAATAGGACAAATGAAGAGAGTTGGGAGGCATGTGTATTTCCTACTCATCACCCATATCCTTTATTCCTGCACTTTATAATGTGATATGCACAATAGTATTTTGGGGGAGAATAGAGACTTGCTTTACAACTATTTTTCCACATTCTGCTGTGTGTGGGCGTTTTGGGGCAAACTTCTTTGGGAGTTGGCGTAGTCTGTTTCAATCCTAACAGTAGATTTTGCATAAAGGTGACATCAGAGACTGGACATCACAGGTGCTGACTTTCCAAAGTGCCAGGGGGTGCTTGACCCCCAGGTCTTCCCCTGCCCTGGAGCACCCACGGAGTTGGCGCCTATGCTGGAGATAGGGGAAGAGTTGGACAGTAGGTGGTGTTGACTGCACATCGTTATACTTCCAACACATCACTGGGCGGGGGCATGGATCAGCATTCATGTCACACTTTCTGTTAGTACCTGGCCTAAGTCAGGGAAGCTAATGATCCAAACAGCGGTCCGAATTCAGTGATAAATCCTGGCCATGTGCCACCTAAGGCACGTTGTGCATATGCTAAGAAGAATCACATCACCCCACCAAGAAATCTATGCAATACTCTTTTTTTGGGAAAAAGGACTAATCAAGTTCTCTATATTTTTTATTTGTTTACATTTACCTAGAGCCAGGAGCAAATATTCAGTCTCATTCCTAATTACCCATTTTCAGAAGTCTGCTAATGGACCCTCACATACTTCTGTGTATTTGTTTTTTTTTTTTTAAATTTGAACCAATTTTTGCTGGGGATGTCTTGTTTCCTTTGTAATTATTCTAATTTTCCAGAAATTAATTTTTATTATATTTTGTGAGGAAAGGAGGCCCCTCCACTTTTGGAATCTTAAACGCTTTGCATTGGGGTGACGCTATCAGGCATTGGACGTAGCAGGAGCATGTCTGACAAGAGCTGGGAAACATGTGGTGCATCCTACACATAACCCTTATCCTACACCGCTCCCTACCAGGGATCCTACTGGTAAATGTACACTCTCAGAGGTAGTACATATGAATAGAGCTGGGGAAAGAGAGAGCGTTTCCTACTCACCAGCCGTATTTTGTATTCCACCCTATTTCAAATCAAGACAAGGTGCCTTTCTGGGTGATATGCTTTAGTCGGTCACAGGTTATTGAGTTCCGCACAGGAATAACAAAGTTCTATGGTGAGTGTGTAGCAGAGATGCCAGCCTAATGTGCCCCCTCCTGGAGTGGTGATACAGAAGATCTGCCTCAGTTTCCCTACATAGTCTTCAGCCCACTTGCACTGGAGAGGTGGCTTAGCCTTCCAGCCAAGTTGCTTCAGAGAATTCAACCCTTTGCAAATTAACTGAATCCCTCAGTCAAAAACCAACCAAGACACCAGACAAAAAAAATCTTGAGCCCAGCCCGGCTCAGCTTTCAACCCCTTTCCTGGCAGGCAGGCCCCCAGCTGCAACAGCCTGTCCTAACACTTAACAGGCTCCTGGACTCCAATGAATCTTGGCCAGGCCCACCCTTCTACACAGGGGCTCTGGCAGGCTGCAATCTTCAGAAAGCTCCTAGACCCAGCCATGTTTCTTGCCTGTCTGCTCTCCTTCCCCATCAGGCCTGAACTAGTGGCCTCCCCTCCTTTTAAGTCCATCTCCCAGGCCTAATGCCCAGCACAGGTGGAGCAGAGCAGAGCTAATCGAGTGCATGTCTGGTGTTTAGCCCTTTCCTGTCTGTTTCAGGCTTTGTCAGAGTATGGTACAGGAGGTCAGGCTTGATGAACTAATAATGGTCCTTTCTGGCCTTAAGATCTCTGAATATCTTCGGTACTGTACCCTACCAAAAGATCTACTCAGTGACGTGGTAAGCTGAGCAGGGGAGTAACTGAGTAATAAAGATGATTAGATTGGGACCAATGTAATATTCCCTCTGTTTTGGGTTGAACAGACTGGGAGGGGTGAATATCCCTCTCTTGTTCCCACTAACCATCTTTCTGCAAGTCTGTGATTAAGTCTCGATAAATTTCCCTGTGAGCTTTTATTTTAATGATTAAGTCTCTTCTTCTGTCTTTGACATAGAAAGCGGATGGTGTTGTGTCGTGTCTTACTGCTCACCCTTTGGGGATGATCTCTGCCCTGATCACGTTGGGATGAGATTTTTCATATGATTGGATCCGATGTTCCTTTTAGCCCTTAAAACCAGCTGGATGGACAAATCTGCTATCAGATTTAAGCTATTAGTCTTAGGGTACATCTACACTTACCGGAGGGTCCGGCGGCAGGCAATCGATGTTCTGGGATCGACTTATCGCGTCTAGTGAAGACGCGATAAAATCGATCCCTGATCGCTTTGCCGTCGACTCCGGAAATCCACCGCGGCAAGAGGCGGCAGCGGAGTCGACGGCAGCGGTCGACTTTCCCCCGTCCTCACAGCCAGGTAAGTCGACCTAAAATACGCAACTTCAGCTACGGTATTCACGTAGCTGAAGTTGCGTATCTTAGGTCGACCCCCCGCTGTAGTGTAGACCTAGCCTAAGACTCTGGCCAGTATTTTCAAAAGTGACTAGCAATTTTGGGTGTATCAGTCGTTGGGTGATCAATTTGAGTCACTTTGAAGGAGTCTGATTTTTCAGAGGATGGGGTTCAGTCTTTCTGAACATTAAAACTCTTTGAGGGTACCGAAGGGGGGTGCCAAATACTGAGGCACTCAAAATCACGACTTGCTTTTGAAAGTCTTGGCCTCTTATCAGAGAAGGTGGCTCTCACTTACATTGGTTTTAATTCAGTTGAGGTCAGTGGAGTTGCTCCTGACCCACACTGGTGTAAGTCAAGCCTAAAGGTCGAGTTCCTTCAAACAGACAAAAATCCTCTCACCCTCTATTGGTTTGATTTTTATCTTGGGTTTCAATATGGCGCTTATCTCCTTTCTGCGGTAGAAAATTAGAAAATGTTACCTAGCATGGGGATTACATTTCTCTGGCATCCATTTTATTGTCAGAGCAACATTTTACTTACCTTACTGCGTGGTCTTGGCTCATTGTCTTAGGACCTGAGCCTCTCCCACTGAGGACAATAGAAGGGGTCTCCTTGAATTCAATGGCCATAGAATTGGCCCACAAGTTTGTCTAGCCTTCAGCTCCCCATTGATAAAAAGGGGACAATGATATTTCTTGATCTCAAGGGAATGTGAGGTGCTTGGGTACTATGTGATGGGGACTTATCTCTTGTAGAAGAGCACAAACCTTGTCCCATTCTAGGGGCCTTGCAAGTACTAGTTTCTTAGATGAGGGGAAGGTGGGTATGTGGCTATAGGCCTCTCCATACCAACTTGGACAACTTGTAAGGCACATCAGCGGCCCAGGGCCTGAGCTTAAACTTGATCTAACAATGGACAAAGTCAACACACATCCCTGATCTTGGCTGTACAGGTGTACTCTGGAAAAGGAGGGTGAAATAACTTAATTTCTCTCCTCTGTGCCCCCTTTTCAGAACTCATCCCCATAGGGTGACCAGATGTCCTGATTTTATAGGGACAGTCCAGATTTTTGGGTCTTTTTCTTATATAGGCTCCTATTACCCCCCCTACCCCCATCCCGATTTTTCACACTTGCTGTCTGGTCACCCTACATCCCCATGCAGCTCCCATAGCATGCGAAGAACGTGAGATATGGGGAAAATTTCCAGTTGGAAGGAGCCAATCACAGCAGAATCTAAATAAACCTCCCTCATTTTACTGTACACTACTCTCTCATCAAAATACAAAGCACTGCACTGCAACACACCCTGCGTATCAGGCATCAGACCCTCAATGATACCAGATATAAAAATTTTGGAATACTTCATACTTTAATACAATGTGTTTAATACCCATGTGTAGGTTTGTAACCATTGCTCAGGTGTAACACTATCCCCATCTAATGATCAACTACAATATAGTTAGGAGGTGCATGAAGAACATGAAACATTGATGTCTGATCATTATTATAATTAAATGTATACGAGTAATACATGTATTTGTCCTGTTTGCTACTTTTTCAATGACTTCACATAATATTTTCGGTGAATCAGTTGCTGTTATGAAGGAGAGGTAATTTGAATAAGTAAAGCTTAATTGAAAGCATTCTTTGGCTTAAATTCTTTGTGGAATATTACATACACAGTGGCAAAGAATTACAGGCAAGAATTACTTTGCAATGATGGAGTTAAACAATGCTTTTATTTAGCAGGATTACATTCATTTTATAATCACAGAAAAAGTCAGCGGCAAATCAACTGAAATTTAATGTGCAATACAAAAAAATAGTCAAGTAGATTATGACTCTATTTCCTGTTTAAGAATAAAATTCAGCGGGAGTTCCATGCTTTGAAGTAGACTCATATAGATTTTAAGACGAGAAGGGACCCATCATCATGCACATTGCAGGCCACAGAACCTCACCCACCCACTCCTGGAATAGACCTATGCCCATTGATAGCTAAAATAAGATTTTTGAATAATCTAAAGTAATTATGGAAATAGTTTCAATTACAGAACAATATTCAGGACATCTAACACATAATGCAGAGCACAACTTAATCATTGTTTTATCCAGTATTCAAGCGGTTATGAAAATATTGGGAATGGTTTTGTTTTTGTTTTATCCTGGGTTCTTTTCTCTATCAAATAAAACAATCTCAAGGAAGAGAAAGTGATGGATAGCAGGATATTATTTTATTTCAGTGGTGCATTTGCAGGAAGCTAGACAATCTTCCTTCACCATAGAATGACTACAGCCAAAGAGCTCTTTTAAGGTGGCACAGTTTGTGTATTTATCCAGATACGTGCAAGGGTTGGCTGAAATAAACCAAATGGTAAACAGTTAGATGATAAAGGGATAAGTCAGTCCTAAATCAGTCACAGGGCCGGCTCTATGAATGGCGGGGCCTGATTCGAATACCCGGCGGTGGTCCGGGGTTTCGGCAGCACTTCGGCGGCGGGGGGTCCGCTCCAGGTCTTCCACGGCACCAAAGGACCCCCCGCTGCCGAAATGCCGCTGAAGACCCGGAGTGGACCTCCCCCCCAGCTGCCGAAATGCCCCCGAAGCCCCGGAGCGGACCCTCCTTCCCCCCGCTGCTGGGTATGTAAAAAAAATGTAAAGATTAATTTTTAGGCACAGGGCCCTCTTAGGGGAATCGGGGGAATCAGCTTAATGCCGGCCCTGATCAGTTAATTGTTTCCCTTTCAAAATGTATTTTTCAATCCATTGTCTTCATAAACTTATGTAGTCTTGTTTGCCTCTCTGTTTTTGTACCCGCAATAACCTGGTGGGCCTCATTCTGAGCTCCATTAAACTAGCTTCAGTGGAGTTACACTGATGTAAGTGAAAGTAGAATCAAAGTTGTGCTTAGGCCAGGGTAGGTATTAGTCACTGGCATTTACTGAATATCACTTTGAAACAGAAGATCAGCCATATCATACAGTGTAACAAGCCAAAATCAACCATGGTACAAATCAACTGAAGTTAGTGGAGATACAAAAGGACTGAACTGTAATGTTGTACCAAGAATAGGATGGTTTATTTTCATTTTTGTTAGGCATTTATTGTTCTGAACACAAATTGTTGTTGGTATAATAATAAGCACCTTTCCTCTGAAGATCTCAGTGTTCTTTAAACTTTAATAGATTAAGCTCCACAACAAAGTACAGTGAAGTAGAGAATTATTATTTTTCTCAGTTTCAGAGACTGGAGTGGGAGGGGGGTGAATGCAAAGTGGAAGGTGAAACTATTTGCACACTTAACCATATACACACTTTTGTTCACACTTAATTGCGGCCTGCAAAGCTCCAATGCATATGCAGAGCTCTATGCATATGTGTAACCCACCAGCTTGTGTGTGTATTGGGTTTGTGTGTCCCTAAGTGTACAGGGCTGAAAAACTTTAGATTGAATACTTAATATAGAGTACTGAGGTCTCCAACAGAGGGCACTGCTAGCACTACCTAGATTACATAGCCCACTGATGTATGTCTAGCGCTAGGACAGAGCTGATGGGATTTACTTTACCCATGGCTGTTTTAAAGGGACTCTTATTTATTAAATATTGTCCAAAATAGCTACTTATATAGTTTGAGAGATGCCAGAGGGTTTTACTGTACGGTTTGCGGTGGGGGCTGCAGCCTGGGCCATGCCCCCCCTCTCGTGGCTTCCCAGGGCCGTGCGACTCTCTCCCCCCCCATAGCTGCAGCTGGAGCTGTGTGCCTGTGGTTGGAGCTGGGACTGTGTGCCCTTGCCCCGCAGCTGCGACCAGCTCAGGAGGCTGCGGCCACTGGGGCCAGGGCTGTCCCCCCTATGGTTGCGGGGCTTGGCCTGTCAGTCTCCCCCATGGGACTCCAGCTGTCATTCTTCCCTCCTACCTAGCTCTGCCCCCAGGTTATTTTTAGTACAGTCACAGACAGGTCACGGGCTCCCGTGATTTTTGTTTGTTGCCTGTGACCTGTCTGTGTCGTTTATTAAAAATAACTGTGACAAAATCTTAACCTTCATTATTATCCAAGGTAATCTAGCATTTGTATTTATTTCTTCAGGGAAGATTTGGAAAGAACAAAAAACCATTAACTTACTGCAGAGTCCTCGGTCGCAGGCATTAGGGCAATCGCCACACGCTGGTCCCTGTTTGTACGGTTTAGATAAGTTTGCTGCATTATTTCCTCTGAAATTAAAAAGCAACCCAAACATAATATATCCCTTTAAAATAAAGTTAACATACTGTATAATTTAGAACTAATTCCATAGATTGTGTGTGAAACCTGCTCCTAAACAATCCTGTTTTAGTTCAAATTATGCTTTGGCTATAGGATGTTCTATTTGAAAGGAGAGAGAGACACATTTCTGTGGTTATAATATTTTATAATTCAATATAATAATTTGGTCTTTGTATAGAATATACAGTAACACAATTAATCCTCTGCACCTTCCATTCAAAGACCTCCAAATATGTTGTGGGCAGGAATGAAATAACCCTTACAGCACCCCTTTGAGGTAGGTCAGTATTAGAGGTGTACAAATACTAAAATACCCCCTTCTCCCTCTGAATATTCATTTACAACTAAATCAAAAGCAGGGGGAAGTAAGCAATAACTTGTGCAGGAGGAGGGTCTGGGAGGACAGGGGGTGACAACGGGGAGGAGCAAGCAATAACTTGTGCAGGAGGAGGGGGAGGGAGGTGTCTTGCTGCTGCTTCTGGAAGGGTGGTTTCTGGTACTGGGCTCACCTCCTTTTACTGAGCTAGGTGGGCTCCCTTCAGCTGAGTGAGCCCTTGCTTGCAAGGGAGGGTGGATTTTACCTCAGGGACTCATCATACTACAGGGGAGGAGAGGCTGGTGCAGGGAGGCTGAGCTTGCCAGGCCCACGTTCTCTATGGGGTGCTCCCAGAGCGAGCGGCCGGCTAGGGCCAATGGGCAGGGGCGGCTCCAGGCACCAGCGCACCAAGCGCATGCCTGGGGTGGCAAGCCGCGGGGGGCGGCCTGCCAGTCGCCGTGAGGGCGGCAGTCAGGCTGCCTTCGGCGGCATGCCTGTGGGAGGTCCTCCGGTCCCACAGCTTCGGCAGCAATTCGGCGGCGGGTACACCGAAGGCGCGGGACCGGCAGACCTCCTGCAGGCATGCCGCCAAATCCGCGTTACCAGCGGACCTCCCGCAGGCATGCCACCGAAGGCTGCCTCACTGCCGTGCTTGGGGCGGCAAAATACATAGAGCCGCCCCTGGCAATGGGGCATGATGCAGGGGGGTTGGTCCCGGGAGTGAGGGGCTGGCCGGGAACAATAGGGCCTGGGCTGGCTAGGGTGACAATACATCCCGTTTTGGCCAGCACAGGTCCCTTTTTCAGCTCTGTCCCAGCCATCCTTACTTCTTCACCAAAACTGGGCATTTGTCCCGGCGGCAAGGCAGAGCAGAGAGAGGAGGCAGTGCCGGGGGGTCATCTGAAGGCATCACTGCCTGCCAGCGGGAAAGCAGAGAAATTTGCTGCTGGCAGGCAGTGCTGGTTTCAGAACTGACCCCTGGGCAGCGCAGAGATGGGGAAGGGGGAATCCGCCTCAGCCGGGGGAGGCACAGAGCTCGAGGGTGGGATTAGCCTCAGCCGGGTGGAGGGGGGATTGAGCCCCAGCCATGGGCAGTGCAGAGCTGGGGGGAGGGTTCTGCCTGAGCTGCGGGCAGCACAGAGCTTGGGGTGGGGGTCAGCCCCTGAGCTCAGAATGGGGGTCAGTCCCAGCCCTGGGCGGCATGGAGGGGAGGGGTCAGCCCCAGCTGTGGGCAGCACAGGGCTGGGAGGGGGAGACCCTGCCATGGGCAGTGCAGAGCTCGAGAGGGGCAGCCCCAAATGTGGGTGGCACAGGAATGGGAGGGGGAGACCCCACTATAGGCAGTGCGGAGCTCGAGGGGGGCAGCCCCAGCTGCAGACAGCATGGAGTTCAGCCCCAGATGTGGGTGGCACAGGGTGGGGGGGGAGTTAGCCCCAGCCCCGGGAGGCAAGGGGAGGGTGGCTCGGGCGAGCCCTGCAAGGGGGAGGAGGGCGGCTCTGGCGAGCCCCTGGACGTCCTGTTTTTAGTTTAAAAACGCTGGGAAGAGACCTACATTACTTTCTGTAGCCTCTTCTCCTCCCACCCTCTGGTGGCACCTTGCGTTATTGCGCCTGACCAGACAGGTTCTTCGGAGCAGCTCATGCTGCCCTCCTGCCCAGAGGGTTTGCGATTAACGCGCATTAAAAAAATTAACACGTTAATTGTGCTGTGCATTAATCGCACGCGTTAACGGCAGTTAATTGACAGCCCTACCTAGAAGGTTTCAAAACATCTTACAAAGCGTTTCAACTTAAAGGAAATATATATTGGTACGTACGCGGGACAGTACTGGCAAACATAAAAGTACTGCCACTTATTCTGAGGACAGTAGGCAACTGCACATCCAATCTGGTAAGAATGATACCAAACCACCTGCAGGCATGAAAATAAGTACATTCAATCAGCAAGGCTTCGTTTCAATCATGGATTATTTGAGAGCCCCTTCATGAGCTCACGGAAAAGCAGCTCTTCAGTTCATGAACCCATAACAGCCCTGTGGGAACTGTGGCAATTGCTTACATGGAAAAGTAATATCAAGGAAATATTTCTGTATATTTAGCTTTTTGAAAAATGCAATTTAGCAGTTGGGAGAAGGAGGAGACTGAAACATGTGACCAACCATCTTTTGTAGAGCACCTATATGATTTTTCAGACAAGAAAAGAAATGTTTTGTTTCTAATCAACGCTTTGAAATGTGTTGCTTTGACATTTCCAAATCAACATTTTTCAGAAATTGTCATTCCACAATTTAGTATATTATTAGTAATTTAAGATACTTTGACATTTGGTCCCATGTTGGGAAGAAGAAAAATATCAAAATATCATAATTTTCTGCTGGAATATATCTTATTAAAGACCTGATCCAATGCCCTTTGAAGTAAATGGAAAGACTCTGAATTAGTTCAGTGGACTTTGGATCAGGCAGGGAATGACAGATAATAGTAATAAGTTTCTAGAGGTACAGACTCCTAACTTTCCTTAATTCCACAGACTCAGTTCCATTGACTTTGATGGGGATGCATGGGTGCTCACATAAATAGATTTTATTTCCAGACTGGGATCACTTTTCTTCCTAAAACAATATTTCATTTGTTGGAAATTTGTCATTCATCTCCATACCTGAGTGTAGCTACCAATAGGGGCATTGTCTTTGACTGCTCCAGTACCATATTTGAAATTAGCCACTTGATTATACCAGGTTTGGATTGCATCAGACCAAGACTGGGGATAAGTTGCCTGTAAAATATTTTCACCACAGAAGACACCTGAAAATAGAAATGAGGCAGTTTCAAGACAGTGTGAGGACAAGGAGAGAGACTGTAGGAATAGCAGAAATGTGAGTTGCACCCTACAGTTAGGTTAACCACCATAATTCCACCCTGGGCATTGTGTCTAATCAGAGATTCATCGATTCCAAGGCCAGAAGGACCATTGTGATCAGCCAGTCTGACCTCCTGTATAGCACAGGCCATAAAACTTCCCCTCAGTAATTCCTGTTTGAATTAGAACAGATCTTTTAGAAAAAAAAAAAAAAATTTCGTCTTGATTAAAAATTTCCAGAGATGGAAAATCCACCACAATCTTGGTAAATTGTCCCAATGGTTAATTAACCTCACTGTTGAAAATGTACACCTTATTTCCAGTCTGAACAAAGCAGTACCTATAAGCCAGTACCTCTAAGAAGGGAATTATTGAACTGATCCAACCCCAATGAAGACAATAGAACGAGTCCCATTAACTTCCATAGGCTTTGGAGCAGGCCCTGTATGTCCAGAGATATTCATTTGCAGACTGTTTAAACTAGAAGCACCTCATTAAAATACTAGATGAGAAGGGCAGATTAAAAATAACACTGATTTCTAGTTAAAAGATACCACCTGTTCTTGGATTAACAGGCTACCATTAAATATTAGATTAAAATAGTCTCCCCCCTTCAATAACTGATTATGGTGTACATACCACCTGTGCAAACTTCTTTGTTTGTAAAATTCATCCCTGTGCAGAAGACTCACTCAAAACTTGTGCATCACTCTAAGTCCCACTTTACTAATTATTTATATTATAATGGCATTTAAAGGCCCTGACAGAGATTAGGGTTTAATTGTGTTGGGCACTCTAATGACCTAGTAGGAGACAGTCCCTTCCCCAAAGAGCTTCATGTCTCAGCAGTCAAGACACAGCATACAGAATTAATGGATTCCTCTCCCCTATGGATTTTGGTGGGGGCAAATGGGAAGAAAAAGAAGTTTGAAGCAATTTTTTCCATGGTGAAGAAAACATTCACTCTCTGGCTGAGATTGTGTGTGTCAAGTTTCAACACAAGTAGATTTTTTCCTTTATTGCATTATAGACCTCTAACTATATGGATCTGGAAGTGAAATCTCAACCTGTCCCATATCAGTGCTCCTGCTCTGCTAAAATAACAGTTTTGCAGTAATATGGTTGTACCTGTAAGTCTCCAGATGGTTATTTCAATCACTCATAATTTATAATTACTCTTCACTTACCATTAACGACTCTCTCGTTGCGAGGACTGATGGACATTTTACACTGATCTGCCCATCTCTGAGCATTGTTCGCAGCGTCAAGATTCCATACCTTAAGGAAACAAGGAGAAATATCATATTTACCTTTTGGTAAAACCAATCCGCAATAGTGAATGTAGAACTAAATACAGATCTGGAGATTATGGCCTGGTTACTCAGGGGGTGTCAGTCCAAATAGCCCCATGGAAGTCATTGCATCTAGGCTGGTTTATATTAGCTGGGGATCCCGAATGTTATAATGTCCTGAAGATTTGAAGTGGATTGTTCCACTTCAGGGGATCCTGAATGTTATAATGTCTATTTGAAGTGGATTGTTCCCTTAGAGGAAAACTCCTCAGCCCCACAACCTAAGAGGTGACCCTCTTGTCACCATGAATGAATAAACCAAAATCTCTATAGTTTAGAGCCTAGCCCTGAAAAGTGCCGTGGTTTGTGATGGTAGCAATGTCCAAGTCCAATGGAAAGGTCTGTAAACTAGTTTCCAACCTGCTTTAATAATGGTTTGGCAGTCATAAAGGACATGAAACCTGTATTGTACATTAGAAATAGGTTGAGGCAAGCCTTTTTTGCACAGTTCCAGCAGACAAAGATCCAGGAGCTGGCAATCCCTGCAAAGGGGGCCTGGAGGGACAGCATCTGCTATTCCAGGCCTAGGCACCACTCAGGCCTTATTTTGACATAAGTGGTGCAGAGCCCATGTACTAGATTCCTGCACAAGAACTGGAATTTGTCTCCTAGAGCTCCTTCCATTCAAAAATCTCAACACAATAGAGAAATATTATTGATGTAAGATTCCTGGTGACTAGGATTACCAGATAGCAACTGTGAAAAAATGGGATGGGGGTGGGGAGTAATAGGCACCTATATAAGAAAAAGTCCCAAAACCCGGGAGTGTCCCTTTAAAAACGGAACATCCGGTCACCCTACCAGTGACCCTGGGAGGTAGGTGAATATTATTAATTCAGTTCTGTAGATGGGAAAACTGAGGCACAGAGGTGAAGGGTAGGGTTTTCAATAGCACGTGGGCTCCTAAGTCACTTCAGTGGTTTTGAAAAAATTCCTCTGCTCTGCTGCAAGTCAATTACAGGAGTAGATTCTGGCCTACCAGTGCCTAGGCCAATGGCCAACCACAAGGACATGCTTCTCTCCCATTCTTTTACACTCCCCTAGCTTAGCGGGAAAACTGCACCTTATCATGGAAAGGATTCTGAGGGCCAAGTTTGCCACTCTGTGACAATGAGAAACATTTCAGAGCTGTAGGAACAGCAATGCCATGTAGCTTACCATCTTCAGCATGTTTCTGGCAGTGGGATTCACTGCTCGCCGAAGGTCATTATGCTTGTCGACGATCACCTTTTGGCTATCCACATTGAAACGAGACAAAGCAGAAAAACCCAGAGCTGGCTTCTAAAGTGAAAAATCACAGGAAAAGTTTTCTCATTTTTGTTTGCCAACTCCCACCACACTCAATGCATTAACCTATAATCCCAGTTGACTATTTTAACAACTACTGTTTGATGATTATACTGTACTCATAATGTTCTTAGGATCTGTTTAACTGGCTCTCATTGGTGTTGGAAGCATCCCCTGGGGTTATGGAGCACTGTCAGTAAATGGCTCTCCTTCTTCTGTCTTTTTAATGAGTAGCAGAAAACCCATCTCTCAGCATTCAGCCCCCCACTCCTCCATTTAGTGCCTTCCCTTCTGCTTCCCCAGTCAGTAGATTCCCAAACTCCCTATCTGTCTCTTGGTGCCCCAGTCAATCTCTTCTGACTCTGCCCCCTCCCACTGTCCATCCTAATACCCACATATTTGGCTCCTTCTACCTCCTGCTTCCCTGGCTTTTCTGGCTTTCCCTTCCATTCAACCAGTTCATCAACTCCCTGCTCCCCGGCTGCTTTACACTGTTCCTTTCCACTGATACCTTCTATACCATCCATCTAGTCACCTCTGTCTGCCACTCCCACTAGTTAGCACCTTCCCTCACATTCCCTTAGCATGTTATTTTCAGTGGTCCCTATCTTGCTGATCCCTCCCCTTCTACTTCACCAGTCAGTGGTGACCCATTTTGTTTTCACCTGCTGGTGAATTCCCTTTTCTCCTTAATTGACCCTCTCAATCCCAGAGCTGGCTTTGGGAATGCATAGATGGGCCTGAAACGCATCCCCGGATCCAAACATCCCTGAATGTTTGGAAAGCACAGATGTGGATCCAATATCAAACTTTGCAACTAGCCTCGGTCTCTAGACTGGGCTGAACAAGATGCTGGGGCCCAAACACTTCCCTACTTTGGAAAAGCTCACATCTGGATCAGCACTCAATGGATTCCTGGCATTTAAGTTAAATGGCTTTAGAGTGAAACCAACTCATGTCCTGCCAGGGAAAGGTTTGTTGTCAGTATCACAGTGAAGAGAAGTGTATGGCTCACAACTAATAGGGAGAAGGATCAGAAATATAATTTTAAAAGATGTTGGAAAACTGGAACGTTACACGTTTTTGAATTGAAATGTCCCAAAATGGGACCCTTAATTCTAATCTCTACTGTATAGTATTTAGTATACAGCATTGAGATCAGAGCAATCAGAGATTTGCTCTGTAATGCTGATGTCAATGGAGATCCTGTGTGCAACTGTCTACATCAGTTTCAAAGAAAGAAAAACGTTTTAAAAGGGGCAAAAAAAAGTATTCTATTCCTGAGGGGACAGTGCAGTTAACAAAAGAGCAATGAAGGAACCCAGTTTGTTATGGAGCCCATTGTGGCCTGCATTTTAGTTTAATCTGTGATTAGAAAGCAGTTTTATTGAACAAAATAGAATTGGAGTTGAGTATCAGGCAGGGCCGGCTCTAACTTTTTTGCTGCCCCAAGCAGCAAAAAAAAGCGCCACCCCCCGCCAAGCGCCGCCCTGCGCCGCCCCCCCGCCGAGTGCCATGCCGCCGGAGCCCGCACCCCCCGCCGAGCGCCGCCGGAACACCCCCCCAGCGCCGCGCCCCGTGCCGCCGGAACACCCCCCCAGCGCCGCGCCCCGCGCCGCCCCCCCGCAGAATGCCGCGCCGTGCCGCGCTCCCCCCGCCGCCCCTTACCAGGTGCCACCCCAAGCATGTGCTTGGTTGCCTGGTGCCTGGAGCCGGCCCTGGTATCAGGAGGATGCTGAATGCATGCAAATGATGTTTCAGATCATTGTGGGAATTTCCACTGTTATTAATAGGTGTCAGAGGACGTGTCAGGGGACATGGACAACAGGGAGTTTTGAATAGCTGAGATTCAGATAAATGAAGGTGCTCTGTATGTGAATAGCTATGAAGTGTCTGTCCTCTGTGAACAAGCAGTGCCTTCAGAAGCAGCCAGCAGTAAACTACCTGCTTTCCTGCTTGTTTCCATTAGGATGGCAAAGTGCTAGGAAGGAGTTCCAGAAAATAGTGGTCCCTGGTGAAAGCACTACAGCACCAGCATTTCCATACTGACAAAGTTTGATTCTCCTCTTGCTTGCACCAGTTTAAATTAGATATAATTCCATTGAACTCAGTGGAATTACACCAGTATAAGACTAATGTGAGAGGAGAAGCAGACCTTAGCTGTGGAAAGTATTTAAATAAATAAGAGTGGATTCTTTGAAGGGAAAAATGTGGAGATGCTTAGAGTACATGCTGAAGTAATGGGTACTGGTGGTCAAATACCATCTGTACTTATGGAACTCCAGGCAACTAACTATTTTGGAGGTGGTTTAGTACAAAACTCAGCCTGTTTCTATTCCTCTGCATAGAAATGAAGGTTCATACCTGTCCAACAGCTTGGTGCAGTGCAGCAAGGCATACGATCACAGTTAGCAGACCCATCTCTGGGGAAAAAATAAACACCCTGTCATTTAGTCTCTTTGCTGTCAAAGAGCAGCATTTTTCTGAAGCAGCATTTTTGTTAGTGGAATATATTTCTGGAGCAAGACGGGGTGATTAGGGATGAAGGCAACTTGGGTTCTAACATTTTAAAGAGAAAAATCTTGTTTTGTCTCCATTTCTCTTATTTGAAATAACTTGAATGTGCAGCAGTTTCCTGCCTGTCTTCTCCTCACTTTATTAAAGGAGCCTTTGTTCAGTGATGCAGTAGATCAGGATCTCACCACTGCTCTCCTCAAAGAACATAGCGTTGAACAGCTGTGTGCAGGAGAGAGGGGCTGTTTTAACGCATGCTGCACTTAGATGGATATAATAGTCCTCAGTTCCTTGCCCTTCCTCTCCCATATCAACTCCCACAGGTGACCCAGTCCTCTACCAATTTACACATAGCACTCCATTCCTTGTTAATGTTCTTCCACTCCCTTCTCCTGCTCTGCTAGTTGCCTTTTTTCTGTATTGCTTCCTTACTGCTGATTGCTCAAACTCCCCACTGTTTCCCAGTTTGGCCCTACGCCATCATGGCTGACTTGCCTTCCCTAACTCTGAAGTCAGAAATCAGAAGCAGGGAGGTGGGTGAGGTGTAGAGCTGGTCAAACTCCCCCTCCTCCCCCCCAGAATTTCTGCTCTATGGGAAGTTCTGATATTTTGAATCCTCCCCCCCCCCCGAATTGGGTAGAAAAGTTAGAATATCAACATTTCTTATTGAACAGAAAGTTAAAAAAAATCAGAAATGTTGAAACATTTCATTTTAGTTCATTTCAACATTGAACTGAGTCCACCTGAGCTTTTGCAATGCCTCATGGAAGTTTTAGTTCCAGGGTGTTTCATCCAGATTCTCCTCTATGGACTGGGCTCCCTGGCTGGACTACACCTCCCATGATGCACCATCGTAGTTCAGAGGGGAGACTGGGATACATGATGGGAGATGTAGTCCAGCCAGGGAGCCCAACCAACAGAAGAGAATGGGTGCGTGAGGCACCCAAACTATAACCACCATGAGGCAGTGCAGCATCTTAAATGGACATAGATTAATGTTGAATTTACCTGAAACGAAACAATTTGATTCAATTTGACGAAGCAAAATATTTTGATTGGGGTCAACCTGACTCAAAACAAAATGCTTCTTTGATTTTCCTGACTGAAAAAAAAAATGATGGCACAACTGATATTTTCCTGCAGAAAATGTTGATTTTGTGAAAACTGCATTTTCTGTCAATGATTTTTTTCACGAAAAATTCTCACATAGCTCTAGTCATGTGTTGGGGAGGAAGGTGTCATATCAGAAAGCAGGCAAGCAGATCAGGTCTCTACACTTCTTGTCTCCCCATTACTAGATATTTTCCCTGATCCCTTAATTAGCCTGCACTGACAGGGAGACTGGCTGGATGACTCCTACTGAATCTTTTTTTCCTATGTCTAGACTCTGTGAGCCTGATTCTGCTCTCACTCTAATGTTACTGAAGTCAGTGAAGATATGCAAAAGTAAAACTTGTGTGAGGAAAATCAAGCTCTTAATATCCCATCATCTCCTAGATTTGATCAGCCCTGCTACATTCACACATTAAAAATATATTCCTCATACTGAGTAGGGATACCCTGAATGCAGGTGCCATGAGTAGTAGAGGTTACCAAGTTAGGAAACATAGCCTCATTAATCTGGTTTTTCATACCAGCTGACTCCTTGGAGATGCCAGGTTTCTCCATGGCTCCGGCAGAGCAGCCGTTCAGACTTTTCCGGTTGGGGGTTGATAACTTCGGTGCTAAAACCAAATGTGCATGTGTCCGTGTGCTTGTTAGTTTTTTGTTTTCTGTTGTGACCAGAATTGGAGTGAATATTCACAGAAGTGTTTTTGCAGGATTTAACAAAGCTCTATTCACCTTCAGATGGATGGATGATTCCCTCTGTGTATTTGTATAATACATACATACATACATACATACATAATGGGGGGAGGGATAGCTCAGTGGTTTGAGCATTGGCCTGCTAAACCCAGGGTTGTGAGGTCAATCCTTGAGAGGGGCCACTTAAGGATCTGGGGCAAAATCAGTACTTGGTCCTGCTAGTGAAGGCAGGGGGCTGGACTTGATGACCTTTCAAGGTCCCTTCCCATTCTAGGAGATAGGATATCTCTATTAATTTAAATTTATTTTTGCACTATTGTTTTTTTAGATGGTCAATGTATTTGTTGGGACTCTTGATTGAAACTGGGTCATAAGGCCAGGTTATTTCAAACAGATAACTCAGTGCAAGGTCACTGTGATACCAGAACATATACATGGGCTAAAATTGCTCCAGATGTTGAGAGTTAAATAGCAGATGGTGCTTGCCCTCACAGTGCCCAGATTATGAAAACAGACTATTGTCCCTTGGGGTGATAAAGTGACTTCCACTGGACAAAGCCAATTGAGAGAAAATTTCAGCTCATAGAGCAATATTATACATAAGAATAAATATTAGTTTCAGCCTGTTGTATAAACACAGAAACTAGGTAGGGCAGGAATATGGCAGAGATCTGAGAAATCCTGTTTGACTTGGACGCTACAATTCTAATGCCTATTAAATGTGTAAACATAAGAAAGAAGTAGAAAATGGAGTTGTAAATTCTTATCAGCTGAATAAATTAACTACACCTGTTCATAACAGGTAAGAAGCAAGAATTAGGAAAAGCTGTAACTTTTCCCCCTGATGTGAACTGAGTTCTTCTGCTGCAGTCTGGCAAAGAGCTAGCAGCAAGTTAACACACTACACCGCAAAAATGGGTTACGCAACGATCTACTTTAAATGAGTGGACAACTGGTATTCTCCTATTCCTTGAAACAAGAGTAGGAGGCTCTGATATTTATGTGATCCTGATATACATCAGACAGCCATTTCCTGTTTAAAGCCTGAAATTTCCTGTATATTTGTGGCCTGATTTTCACTTAAACTAGGTTGAAACCATTGACTTCAGTGGAGTTACATCAGTGCAAGTGGGAAAAGCACCCTCAGATTGCTATGATCACAAATTGCTACTAGTCAACATAAAAATCAATAAGTAAACATAAGATCTGCTTTAGTCAAACGCAAGCTATTGGACGCAATGCAGGGGAAACTGGGTGAAATTCTATGGCCTGTGATATACAGGAGATCAGAACAGATGATAAGGATCTCTTCTGATCTGACCTGCTAGGAATCTATAATTGCTGCAGTGAATGATTATGATGTGACAAAGGATTCCAACTTCTGCAGAGGAATTACCAATAAATAGCTTTTAAACGTGAACGGAGAGTCCTGTTACCTGCTAAGATTGAAGTCCAGCTGCTCAGGACTCTGTGTTTCCCATTCTACAGTTTCATGATGTGACCAATAGTACAATCAGTATGATGGTTACAGTTCCCTGCATTGCAGGCATGAGTGATATCATTACCCATAGCACGGAAAATGCCAGACCAAGTGGGAGGCAAAGGTTTTAAATGATTTTGGTTTAAAGTGCATTTCTAATATTAAAGTCTGCTCACAGGACAAGCTCTGCTTGCTGCATTTGCAGAAGTAGCTACACTGAAGTCAAAGGCTCAGTTCGTTTGGGTGAGGCAAGCAGGATATGGTCACGTTTTGTAGCAATGAGAAGATGTTCCATTATCTGCCCAGCGCCCACACCGAGTAGCCTGGGTCTAGGCACTGGGGAAACGTTGTCCCCTTCCCTACCAGCCAATGATATGCTTATGGAGGCTACTTTACCACATACACCTCTAGTTTAGCCTGGTTGTGCTGAGGAGGGACCAGAGGATCCACACTGTCAGAATCTCTGCCTTGGCATGCTCTATCCTTCCATATTCTATGTATCTTGCTACACAGAGCCCACACAGCACCAAACAGGGCTCCATGCCCCTCACATGTGCATAGCCCATGTGGCCCCCCCCCGCCTTGTTACATAAGAAAACCACACCAGGGGTTTGAGACTATGCTAAATAAAGCTAGTGGCAAAGCTGCCATATAATGCAGGCTGAAGTCTGAGTCCTGCAGAGGGAGGGAAATCTTTGGGTGCAGAGGTGTTGTCTGGATTTCCCTCTAAGTACACACATTATCTTCACTTTTAAAAAGAAGACCAAGGGAGGCTGAATTTTTGTGATGATTCAAGGCTTGATACAAAGTTCATTCTAACATATTAGTGAATAGTGCTTGAAATTCCCCAGATAAATGTATGGCAAGGGATACAAAACATTTCTAGCATTAGAATTAAATTAAATGTTTGTTTCACAAACTTAAAATACTAATACACATTTGCACTCAATAAGATCTGACAATCAAGCCCACCTGTTTTAATAAATAGGTCCCGATCAAACTATATTATCCAACATTTTGAAACCTGGCACTGAAGGTAGATTCTTAAAAAGATATTTGTGCTCCCAAATACAATTTTATACCAGGTAAATGGGATTAATTTCAATAGAGTTAGGTGCCTAAACACCTTGGAGGATCTGAGCCTTAAGTGCTTTTGAAAATTCCAGTTCTAGAACTCTAACATCAGGTACCCAGGTTTGAAAATTGTAGCCATTTTATGCAAATTGTAATCATATATTAAAAATTCCTAATTATAAAAAATCTATTAAACTATGAAGTTAGAAACAAATTCATACATTTGCGTTTTTACAACCCAACACTATTTTTTTTCCTAGCTGAGAAATTTTTCTGACCTGTTTTTAATGCTGGGAATTTTCTGATAATTTTGTGACTAACAGTCATTGGTAGGGTTTGTTTATTCAGTTTACATTGTAATACATTATTTTCTATTTTTTATGTGTTTTACATTTATGCCTTTTAGGTTTTTTCCCCCATTCACTAAGAACATACAACTAACCTGTTTTTCACTTAAATATTTAATTTACAGTCTAATATACTGTATGCATGAGACCTTGGGCAAGTTGTTTAGTCTCTCTAGAGAAGAAAAACCTGTGCTCAGATACCCTGGTTTAAATCGGGGGTAATTCCACGGAAATTACACAGCATAAAATCAATGTAAGAGAGAGAAGAATCAGTCTTTCAGTGACTGAGTTTAACCATTTGCAAAGTGGGATAATAGATACCCACTGTGCAAAGTGCTTTAAGATCCTTGCATGGAAAATGCCTTGAGATGATGGGCCACATTTGGATCTAAATTACAATGGTGGGAATCAGATTAACTCAATTGATTTTAGGGGAGTCATTTCTTATTTACACCAGTGCAATTTAGATCAGAATAATATAGACAGACAATATTATTTATTAGTATAGTTTCCCTGTGGGATTAGTACATTAAAATTATACAATTAAAAGTAAAGACATTTTGGTACTATTTAGATTTTGAATAAAATAGCCATTGTGAGACAGTGCTGAATAAGTATTTTCTCCAATATAATTTCTGTAAAAAAAATAATTTGTTACCTTTCTCCAGCCTGAGTCTTTCTGTATCTTTGGAAGGGCTGTAAGTGTTTGAAGTTATCTCCTCTCTAGAGGTGTGTATATATAGCACACCTACTTCCTGTTTTATAAACACATGGTTTTAAAAAAATTACAATATCAGCATAGGTTTCAGAGTGGTAGCCATGTTAGTCTGTATCAGCAAAAACAACGAGGAGTACTTGTGGCACCTTAGAGACTAACAAATTTATTTGGGCATAAGCTTTCATGGGCTAAAACCCACTTTATCAGATGCATGGACCCCGGTGTGGGGGGTCGAGAGAAATCTATTAAAGTGGGATATTATCAACAGGATGAAAAATCACTTTTGTAGTGGTAATCAGGGTGACTCATTTCAAACAGTTAACAAGAAAGTGTTAGTAACAGTAGGGGCAAATTAGCATGGGGAAATTAGGTTGTTGTTATTTTATTTCTTGTAGTGACCCATCCACTCCCAGTCTTTATTCAGGCCTAATTTGATGGTGTCCAGTTTGCAAATTAATTCCAGTTCTGCAGTTTCTTATTGGAGTCTGTTTTTGAAGTTTTTTTGTTGAAGAATTGCCACTCTGTTATTGAGTGTCCAGGGAGGTTGAAGTGCTCTCTGACTGGTTTTTGAATGTTATAATTCTTGATGTCTGATTTGTGTCCATTTATTCTTTTGCGTAGAGACTGTCCAGTTTGGCCAATGTACATGGCAGAGGGGCATTGCTGGCACATGATGGCATATATCAGCATAGTGCGGCATTCTTTAAAAAGAACTAACTTTAATCAGGAACCAGCTGATTGAAATTAAGCTAGTCCACCTGTGCTGTTCTTGCCTTTTAAAAAACAAACAAAAAGAAAAACAGAAATTGGCTCTCTTAACACGTGCCAGGTCTTGGAAGGTCAGTTCTTTCACAGAGCAGGTGAAAATTCCTTGCCAATGTTCCGCAAAGCTGACCTGTAGGCACTTCTGCTAAAGGGGGAGGAGGGGAGCAGATGTAGCACTGATTCTCACAAAAAAGAAAGAAAGGTTATAGTGACAATGACTGCTTTGTAAGTCTCACTTCCAACCCTAGTAAAATAACCGAATACATATTAAGGGGGGGGGGGAATTACTGGGCCAGCTCACCTCTCTCTAACACAATAGCCTCCTTGCTAAGGAAAACTTTGTGCTAGAGCCCACTTAGAGTTTTCGTGGAATTGTTTCCTATGTTAAAATATCATCTTTATTATGCTAGCTTTCAGAGATGAGGTTGGGGCCCCATTGTGCTAGGTGCTGTACAAACACATAGCAAGAGAATCACGGGCTGTGTTTGGAAAATATCCAGCACATAGGTGCATGTGTGTTTGGTTTGCACCTTTCCCCATGGAGCAGGACTCTAAATTCCCTTCCACAGCATGAAAAACTTTTCTACTCTATCACTGATTATTGCAGAACACCTTAGGGCATCTCAGCCCTATGAGGCATTCAGGGTCCAGAAGAAACAGCAACAAGGCCTGGAGTAGCCTTTAGAATTCTGATGAATGGAGCAGGGGGCTGAGCCAGTTACATTCTCCCCAGAAAGTGCCCAGTCTGCAAGCCCCCTCCCCACTCCCCCCAAGCAAATGGAAGAAGTAAATGGAAGGAGACTAAGTATCTTCTACAGGGTTAGGACAGGACATGGGTCAGACAAAGGCTAGAGTATTATGAGGAATAGGTCACTGGGCCTTTCCTCCTCCTTCCCATCAGACAACGCAAGGCAAGAAGTGAGCCTGTACTATGTAGGTGAGGGAGGCTTTGTGAGAAGACCTAGGTCTATGGGGCTATGTCAAAAATTCTGCCGCTCAAACCCTCTTTAAGAGTTCTGAGTAGTTCAGATGCGCTTTGCATGAGCAATGTGCATATTTCTTTTCGGGTGCTTATCTGAACCTTTTGAAGTTCATTCATCTAAGAGGCCTCACGTTTCCTTTCATGCTCTGAAATGGGAGCGCAGAGGCTCGTGATTCTTGAGTCACTTGAGCTGCGCTATGTCTCTGAAGAGACCGGCAATTTTCCTTCGGGCACTGCCAGGGCCGGCTCTAGGTTTTTTGCCGCCCCAAGCAAAAAAAATTTTGGCTGCCCCCCGTCCCAGCCCTGGGCTCCTCGCCGGACCCCCCTGCTGT